GATGATTTTCATACGGTTAAAAATATTGCGGTAGGTAACAAATTTGTTATCCAGAAGGCACCTGCCAACGAGTTCTTTCACAGCTAATGCATTTATTTTGAAAGGCCCATAGTACTTATTAGAGTACATAGTGTGTACTTCCGTCGAAGTATCAAGCTGAACGAGATACTGGTTTCGATTTGTAGGATTGAAGAGGGCGACTACATTCCATTTCGGAACAAGATCCACGACGATTCTGCATCTCGTTGTGGCGAACCATTTGTAGGGAAGGGCCAATATTGGTTTTTTAGCCCCCCCTATCCATTTTGATGACGAGCCTTATTAGAAATAGATTCGTCGCTTGCCTTCTGAGGAGGATGCAGCTTTGTCAGGTTGCACACGTTCAGGTGGTAAGGATGCATGTAAGAGTATGTTGGAGAGCCCCAGGTACAAAGGCGCAATATGAGAAAGTGTTGAAGGTCGTTACGAGGCTTACAACCTAATTCAGAGAAGTGTCTGTTTCAAGCTCATCAGACTGTGTTATACGTCATGTCTGCCCTGTCATCGTTTCAGTCGGTGGGCAGAGTTTGAAAGGCTGAATGACGCAGAAACAGTTATAGCCCATATACGATTGTTTGGGGCACTATTAGGTTATCGAACAAGTGGATGATTCCGGTACTTCATCTTCCATCGCCGCTTCTCCTTTCGGGTCGCTAGGCAGACGCGTCAGACAGTGCTTCCAACGTTCCTGATCCTGAGATAGGGTCCGAGCTTCGGTAGAAGACAACTGGAGTCTGGAACAGACTCGCTCCATACATTTGCACCAGATTAATTTTGGCCGTCCCCTGGGCCTTCTGCCGGTCAGATTCGCAAGAAATATTTTCGTAGCCTTCCTTTCTGGAGGCATTCGCAACATGTGCCCATTCCGGTACTTGTGAGCAGAAAATATAACTCAATTCTATTCCCATTTACATTTGCGTTGGAACCTTGATACACTTCATGCACTCATTGAGTATCAGATTTGTATTATTTAAACAACATGCACAGTACTGATGAACGATAAACAACATGTATGAGCAAATTCTGACTGGGGTCTGGTGACTGCGATGCTGGATTCATGCTGCGACTGAGGAGGAGCGTATGAGGTAGAAGTTTTCGGGCAGATGTGCCCATTTTTTCTTGTAAGACACGTGTCCTACGACTGACCCACGAGTAGAAAAGCATTGACCCCCACCCGACGACTTCCATCGCATACGCCCATCCTCAGGATTCAACATCCCAGCCACTAGACTCCAGTGCAGAACTTGCTGGTACAGGTTACGTATTTTGTTCACCATTACTCTGCATGTTTCTTAATCTACATAAGTCCAGATTTGCCCGCCTCCTCTGCAGCGGCGTTTCGTGGGACACTTGAAGCCCCATGGCCACATGTCTAGAGCGACAGGCATTTGATTTCACGGTAGCATTTACAGCAGTGCCGTACAGATATTAAATTGTAATGCACTGCGAATATTTTTGCAGCGCGAAGCTCACACACGCAAACTAGAATATTAGCCTTTGCTTGTAGTGATACCTGTTGTGAATACAATATTTGAATGTTCGCATATTAGCATATTTTGTGCACTGTGTGGCTAAACCCCATAACTGTTTTGCAGGATGTAAAGGTAAACAGTCCGGATTACAAGAATATGGACAAGGAAATAGCCAAGGTGGACTTTCAACGACGAATTGAGCACTACCGCACCGTTTATCAGCCTGTCGACTCAGTCTTTGACAAAGATGTGTCGTTCATTAAGGTGTTCGACGCTGGTAAAAGGTTTCTGGTTCAGCACATAATGGGTAGGCATTTTTTTTCAACTCGTAAATTAAGGATTCAGTGCTTTGAGATCTCGCTTGTTTTTTCCAAGGTATAATATGTGTTAGTTTACTGATATTGCCTGAAATGCTTCCATTCGCTTTCTTTGTTCAAGCAGCTGCTTTCGATGTTTACTCACGGCGAGTTTCACAAAGCGACGCTAATACAGAATATTATATTTTGACTATGCGATGCAAATTTTTGGCAGGAACTACAGATGCACATACTAGAAACATGCACTGATTCTAACGCCAGGCAATCAACCATTTATGTTTCTTATTGTTGATCATACCAGTTGGTTCCTTCAGCGAGACTTCTCTTCATCACATATTATTTTTTGACTGGAGCACTACCTTGCTCTTTTGCGGTGATGTTTCAGGATCCCATATTCCTTGTATGCGTTCGCATAACTTCATAAATATTGGTTCCCACACCAGGACATTTTAATAAATGCGTAGTTTATTCAGCAATGATATCTTAAGTGTCTTCTACACAGTTAGAAGCAAAGAATTAGTGCAGTAAAAAGTGGAATTCTATTTTGGAGAAATTAAGCACTTTCTGATGCATTCATGTTTCTATTAAATAGTATTTTATTGTTTAATTTATTGCTTATTTAAAACATTATTTAGGTAATGCGTTTTAAACAATAACAGAAAATCTTAGCCATTGAATTTCCGTTATGTCCATAACTGCAGAATCCTGGAAATCTATTTTTAACAACAATTCATAGAACTTGCATAGAAGTTTGATAGCGAATTTTAAATTAACTTCACTCTGTACAGTAAACCTAAGCATGAAGAAGGAAAAAGTAACCGAGAGCCAGGTAAAGTTTTTTTCTACACTGGCCTCTTTGGAGCGCCTTAATCCTGATTCTTTGTAATTTTTTTACCTTTACTTTTAGGTCACGTACAAAGCAGAGTCGTTTATTTTCTGATGAATATTCATCTGATGCCTCGTTCCATATTTTTGACTAGGGTAAGATCATGTTTGATCTATTTTTGTACGCTTAGTTGCTTTTTATGCGCTAGAATGTGTATTCACGTTTAAAACTGTAAGGTCTCTGATATAGAAAGTAGCTCTGCAAATGCATTTTACTCTACTGATCGGTATATGATGTTATCCAAAAGCGCAACCTCAGTGACCCCTTTCGCGGACAGCGACCAGAGTGCTGTATCACTTGCTAGCATAATGCCTTACTGAGACACCGTATCTATTCAGTCTCGAAATTTGGTATTTGTGATCCTGATGTCTCTGACGTTGTCTAATCCAGAGTTGTGAGTTTTTCGACTTTCAGAGTCAGGGACAGTCTCTGCGTAATTCCCTCCATTTGAACCAGTTTCGTTCAACATTATGTGATATTCACTGTGGAGTCTTTCGTTTTTTCTTACCAGAACTTCTGGTTCGAATCCATGCGTTACCGAAGTTTTTCATATTGACTGCACACCCATATGATCAAGGAACTTTTCCAATCACGCTTAGGTGACATTAACTAAGAAAGGATTAGCAAGTCGATG